ACTTTAGTGAGCCTCTCGGAGATAAGTAGCTTACAGGTTTGCAAGGGAATTCCTATTTCGTCATTTATATCCTCAAAAGGAAGTTTCGTGCCAAGTCGCGCCAGTTCGTCGGCCTTACAATTCCCCTCTATGCCGCAGTGTCCCGGAACCCATATTACCTTTGGGCGAAATGACTCAGCCATCTCGTTAAGAGATGCACGGCATTTCATGGCTACCATGGAGGTTGTCGACTGCTTCGTGAGGGACTTTATTGCCGCCTGGCTGTCAGTGAAGATGTAGATATCAACTTGGGGTATCATATCACACTTTACCAGTTTCGTGGCCCTGTCGATTGCCATCAGTTCAGCCTGAAAAACGCTACAGTGGTCCGGGAGACGAAAGCTGAGGGAGATTCCCAGGTGATGGGAATATACACCTCCTCCAACCCTACCCTCGAGCTTTGAGCCATCTGTGTATACATGGATGGACTCTCCACTACTTACAGCGTCATGCTTCCACTCTTCCCTTGAGGGTAGGAGGGTCGCGAACGCTGTAGCGGGTGCAGGTTCCGGAAGTGCATAGTCCACCAATCCGGGTAGCCCCGGAACTTCCGTTAATATTCTACCGTGACCATAACTGGTATTTGACCACTTATTTAGAGTATTCATTCGAATTGCCGCGCCACTTGCGACTTGTTTGGCATGTAGGTCCACCGGAAGAAAATTCAGTAGGGCATACAGTGCCTTGGATGGTGTTGTTCTCATCGCACCAGTTATGAGTGTGGACGCAAGCCTTTGAACCTTGTCCATTTTTTTGAAGTTTACCCCTTTCCCAAGGGCGTTCCACCATACCACTATACCGTGATAGAGAATTGGCCTAACCACCGCCGTGTATAGCCAGTGTATTATTTTGGGTTCCATCCCCCATTTTTTCCCTATTGCTCTGCTGCAGGAATATAGTGCCACTGTTGCTTTGCGCACTCTATCTGCAACGTTGGGCCCCCAGTTTAGTTTCCTATCTACTATGAGACCTAGATATTTGGTCTCTTCCTTTATTGCGAGGGTATTGCCCTCTAGGGTTATGTTCCCGAGATCAGGTATCTTGTGCTTCCTGGTGAACAGCACAAGGTCTGTTTTTTCAGGATTCACTCCCAGTCCTCGCCTGTTACACCACAGGGATAGTTTGTTGAGGGATCTTTGGATCAGATCTGTCAATGTTGAAAGATGTTTACCCGAGATAGCTATTACAATATCGTCGGCGTATGCAATTATCTGACCGCCAATGTCTTCAAGTTCCCGAAGAAGGCTGTCTACTGCTATATTCCACAGGAGCGGTGATATTACTCCCCCCTGGGGTGTACCCCTGACGGGGAACCTTTTTATAACTGATTCACCTAATCCTGCGCTTATTTCTCGGCCGATTAACATTCGTTCAATAAATGAGGTTAGTGAATTGCTTACTCCCAGATTTATCAGATATGAGATAATCGCTGCAGGAGATACATTGTTGAAAGCACCCTCGATGTCCAGGAAGGCCGCGAGGGTGTATTCTTTGTAATAAAGTGATCTTTCAATTGTGTGCACTAAAGAATGGAGTGCTGTTTCGACTGATCTCCCTTTGTTGTAGGCATGCTGGGCTGCCGAAAGTTTGCTGCCCACCTTGTATCTAATGTGCCCATCTATTATTCTCTCTAGAGATTTCAACAGGAAAGACGACAGACTAATTGGTCTGAAGTCTTTTGGTCTCGTGTGTGTAGTTTTCCCTGCCTTGGGAATGAAAACTACTCTTACCTCCTCCCATTTGTGGGGTATATAATTCATTCGTAACACTGCTTCAAAGACTGGTACGAGTATGGGTGCAATCATTCCTGCTGTATGCTGTAGGTCAGCGGGAATAATGCCGTCTGGTCCCGGAGATTTAAACGGTTGGAAGCTGCTAATAGCATGCTTTATGTTCTCCTCGGTTATGATATTCGCTGGAATGTCATCATGGTTGCCTATGATTCGGGTATTTGTGACTCTACTGTGGAGGCAACCCGGAAAGTGCGTCTGTACAAGAAGCTCTAGAGTTTCTTCGCTGCTAGTTGTCCAATCACCATCCTCCTTGATGAGATAGCTAATATTGCTGGGACTCATAGATAGTATTTTGCGCAGTCTGCTGGCCTCCGAAGTACTTTCTATCTTCTGACAGAAGTTCCTCCATGAGGAGCGCTTAGCGTCTCTTATTGCATACTTAAATCGGCGTTGCCAATCTTTAAATTCACTCCAAGAGTTGGATCTCTTAGCTTCATTAAATTTTGATCTGCATTCCCTTCTGAGGGTTGCAATTTCAGTGGACCACCATGGAGGTTTTGGTTTCCTACTTGTTGCCCTGATTGGGCAGGCTGATTTTGCTGCACGATGAAATGCTTTAGTTATATCGTTTACGACGTTATCAAGTTGATGTTCCGAGTTTATTTGATTTGTGAGGCCGGAAATATTATTAGAAAATATTGTTTCAAATTTTTTCCAATTTGTTTTTCTGCGGTTTAAGACCGCTTGTTGTTTTCTTACTGGTACGTATAGGTTATAAACGACGTACATGTGATCCGAAAAGGAGTTGTCTTTTGAGACTCTCCAGTCATTCAAGAGTTCTGCCCCCTGCTCATTGACACATGTAATGTCAAGGACCTCCCTTCTAACAGACGTCACAAAGGTAGGGGTATCACCTACGTTGCTAACCTGTAAGTTATTGCACATAATGAATTCGAATATCGACTCACCGCGTTCATTTGTATCTGAGCTGCCCCATATGTGATGATGGGCATTCGCGTCCGCTCCTATGACCATCGGAGTGCCGCGTCTAGAGGCCTCCATTACCGCGCTCCTTAAGGATTGTGGTGGAGGTAATGTTTCTGCGTCGTGGGCCATATATGTGGAAGCCAGCCAAATAGACATTCCGCCTGATTCCACTGCTATGATGACGTTGTCCGCATCGCTAAACTGTATCAAGAGAAATGCATTAATACACTTTTTTATCAATATGCACGACCTGGGTTTACCTTTGTCAGTTACATAGAACAGCTTGTATCCCTTCATATTCAATCCACAAACCCGATCTTTTATGACCCAAGGCTCCTGGATGAGTGCGATCTCCTCTTCTCTTTCGGCGAGACGGAGGAGAAGTGCGGCTGGGGCCGCCTTGCAGTGGTGGAGATTAATCTGAACTATCCCCACCATCAGTTTCGCGTGCTGCTGCTGGACAGCCAACCACAGTCCGGTTGACGTCCTCTTCGTCAGAAAGGGGGAGGATATCCTCCCCTTCTCCTTCCACCATGGTGTCGGAAAAGTCGGAGTGGTCCCCCGCCCCCTCTTCTAGAGTCACCCTCTCGAAGAGTTCGCCGACCATTCCGGAGGTGGATGCCACTTCGTCGTCAGTAGCACTTTCCACTGCGCTCGCTTCGTCGGTAGGGTGTTGTTTCCCTGACACGTCCTGCCGATAAACATGGAGGTTCAAGGCTTGGAAGCCATAATTTATCCTCCAGTTTTGGTTGGCTAGCGGTTCTACTGATTCCTCGTTGAGGACTATTACCGCTAACCTTCGCTTGCCATCGATATCGCCTATCTTTGCTACCTTCCAGTCGTGGGTGGGTAGCTCGGGGTTGCCCATACGTATCCATTCCAGCACTTCCTGTGGGTCGGTGTGGAAGTCTGGAATCCAGGCCCTGGATCTGGGCCGATTGGGAATGTCTTCCCGCTTTATCGCCTCAAGGCGTGCACCCGGCCAGACCTCGCCTACGCGACTGATGGCCAGGGTGTATAGGTCGACGGATCTCTGGTCCGCGCACCTTGTTAATTTGACGCGGTTTTGGAACCAACCGGCGTCCGCACAACTGGGGGGTGGTCCTGGGTTTTCCCCTAGAACCTCCTTATAGACGGCCCAGAGTCGCCTGTTGACCAGGTCCCAGTTTTGTGGTGATATTGCACCATCAAGTGAGCTGCGGTCTATCACAGCCCTGGTAAATGTGTCCTTCGCCGCGTCCGCGAAGGATCTTTTCTGCAGCTCGTCCGCTGTTAAAAAGGCGGATACCCTTGTTCTCTTGGGTTCCGAGCTTAGCTCCCTAGAGGACTTCCGCTTGCCTTGAGCAGACTCTTGTTTGGGTTTCGCCTGGTGTTCAGCCATAAACTTTTCGGCCCAATTTCTTGAGTCCAGCTCTTCTGCGGTCAGTTCTTCTGGCTTCTTATCCCTCAGTCTCTCCAGGATTCTGAGGGCTGACCGTCTGGTACGATAGTACCTTTCTGATGCACTAATGTGCTTCTGGGGATGGCTACTGCCCATCGCTACATTAGTGCCAGAATGGCGCACCTCAGAGGCCGCTGGCTTAGCCATGCGGTCTGATGTCGCCGACGCCGCTTTAGGGATTGCACCTGTCGATGTTCCCTTGCCTCCTGGAGTGGCGGGGACGGCAGCAGGGCTAGCTTGTCTTGTGACAGGGCTGCCCTTGCCTCCCGAAGACCTATCTGCGAGGGTGGGTCTGCTACCAGCACCGGACGGATTAAAATCCTCGCTAGCTTGTCTAGGGACATGGCTAGACCGGTTGCCGGAAGGGGGCCTCGATGCCGTTGAGGCAGTCCCAGAGGGGACAGAGCGTATGCTCAGCCCTGGCTTGGCCACAGACTTTGCACCGCTGGCTTGCTTGGTCTTGTCCGAGGACAGACCGGACCTTCCTGACTGGGTGGGTCTACTTTTTTTGGGGGGTTCTCGGTTATCCGAGGCAGGTTTTTTATTTGAGTACATCATTCATAAACGTCCGCACTGCTCGACGTGGCGAGCGTGGCGGACTACGTATTTAGGGGGGGAAAAGGGAGTCGTCGACCACAGCGGTCCCCTCCGCTGTGGCAAGGTCATTCCACCTCCTGAGGTGACCCGGTATCAGGAGATTATATGTAACTTTACAATATAAGTGACTTTGTTAATTTATGTAAGTGCGCGGAAATAAATGTACATTTGAACAGTGCAAACTTTTTTGTCGTAATTTCAACGCTTGAACTCAATTGGATCAAGCGGGTCATCCTACATAACTTTGCACCACGTCAACCGATTTCAATTTCTTTTTGCAACGAAAAGGTAGTGTCTCAGAGGTCGTCCCATACTAATTTGGTTTAGATCCGATCATTGGATCATGAAATATATAGATATATATATATTTTTTTTAAGTCGGTTTTTTTTTGCTAAAAATTACTTGTTTGTCTTTTTTAATTATTATTTTTTTTTTTACTTTTTAGATTTTGGTTTAAAATTAAATTTTTTTTTATTGTTTTTTTAATTTTTAAGTGCCTACTATGTTCTTCTCTTCTTGAATAAAAAGGAAAGGATAAGGAAAAAATATATATTTCTTTTAATTTCATTTAACTTTTAAAAATATTTTTATTTACTTTTGCTTTATTTTCATTTTATTATTATTATTATTTTTAAATTTAATGCTATTTTTGTATTAGTCTTTTATTCTTATTATTATTGTATATATATTTTAAAATTTAATTTAATTTTTAAAAGCCTATTGCTTTAAGGCGAACAGCATAACGCTATAACCTCCTCTTTAGCAGATATTTCAATTAGTCTTTCGAAAGGCACAAAAGAGCTTTCAAGACAGTTGCCAGAATCGCCCTGTTAGAGTAGAACTCCAGATTAAGCTTATCCGGCGTTCAGCGCTTTTTAGGCTTTCAGCTATACAATTCAGCTATAGACGAAAGCCGGAAAAGCTTGTTTTGGAGTTGTACTCTTACACTAGAAATTCGGCCACGCTGTTCAGAGTAGTAAGGGTTGCCAACTTCGATTTTCTGACAAATTACACAATTTCCATTCCTGCCGGATTGGTAACATGTAAACGTACTCCATGCCGATAACACAAAGTGTCGATGTTCCACATAAAAACAACTTAAATATCTGAAATTATGAGTTGTGTCGTTATTACAGAGGACCATCGATGTTTATTTACGCTTATATAACATAATGTGTTTAACAAATAAATTTACACAATTTCAAATGCAAGTTTTGTTCACCAATTGACACTGAACAAACTCAAAGGCACCATTTATTTAGTAGTGCACAGCAAACAACCAACATCAGAAGACAATCTGCTGAATGTGATCTACTATATGCCTACATACATACGTACATTTCAATACGTTGGAGTTGGAGATGAATTTGATATGGCAAAACATTTTTTTTATGTGCTTGAGCTACCCTACCCAATTTTGATGAAAACTTTAAACAAACATGTGCTCCAAAGCTCGTTTGTGCACAAACACACACACTGGCCGAAATGCGTTTACATTGCTTAACAGCTTCGCTGTTATTCACACACGCATGAAACAATAAACTTAAAAAAAAACTGTATCTTCTTTTGACTTTTTTATAGTTTGTTTATGTGCGAGTTCAAGGTGAACGCGTCGACGGGTTAAGTCTTGTTTTCTGTTTTTTTTTATTTTTCTGATGATTTATGCACTTCAACTCAGCTTCAATGAATGCCAGTGTTATAAAAGTTTGCGTAGCATAAATGTTTTTTCGTTTGCCCGAAAGTTGGATTCAAAAGCATGAAGTCGAGATTACACTAGCAATATTATGAGTTAAGCTCACAGTTGGTCACTTCACAGGCACGCGTGCCATGCCTTTGTATCAGAAATCGAAATACCGATATGAGAAAATTGGCAACAATATTTACGTATGATCGTTTGGTCATAGCTGACCGATAATTTAGACAAAGCTGATTAATAATTCTGTAAGATCTAACTGTACCTAATTACTTCAACAATGTGCTCTGCGGTTGGATGAAAAATATTAAGTTTACATCTACTTTTAGGCGATTGCTTAGAGAATTAATCCATTTTGCCGGTTGCTATCAACATTTTTCTCATTTGGAAAGCATGTATTATTTTGAAGACTACCATACCCTGGCATCCACATAAGTTCAAGCGTATTTCTCTTAGCAGCCGAGCTTAGTCTCAATGTAAATTCCTGAATTGAAAATATTTGAGGAGGCCTATACGGCACACAGTGTACGATTTGGGTGTGTCGATGGACAAAATCGTAAATCCCTCGATAGGAATAAGATAAAAATATGGAAAAATAATGATGAATAATAAAAAGATAAAATATTGGCCTACAAGGGAAAAGTAGTCCCATTATATTATCATTAAATTAAACCCCCAAACAATTTGGTTGAAAAATTAACTTACGAAAACCAATTAACACATTGCTAGCTGCAAAAAACAAATTTTAGTTTTGGGTTTTATGGATTTTTCTTATAGATTCTCAACCAAGGACTTTAAATTTTCCACGGAAAACACTTCTGATGAACCTCCAGAAGTTCCCAATTCTGGAAGTCTCAAACTCCGTATCGATTGCAAATATTAATACTTTCTCTAAATTCTCCACCAGATCGTTGACGACAACAAACACAAAGTAGGGGTGATCGAAGTTTAGTTTATTTAGAGAGTTTATAATTGCTTCAGGTAGGATGTTAATGAAAGCCTGCTTTCTCGATCTCAGTTCGCAACGCCGGCATATTCCTTCTACGCGAAGTATTGCTCAAGAACCTCTAACACTGTGTGTTGTGGTGATTCTATTAATCTGCCCTTAGAGTAGGTGTGCTTATTTAATGTCAAAGAAAACCTGTGAATCCCGCTTCTCCACAAGTGACTTTAAGAGAAACAAAGAGAGAATTATTAATCCTTCCTTGGGAACGAAGGGAACTTTGACCCACCTCCAAGGATTTGGAATGAAGCTACTTCCTTAATAGCTCGCCTAGGCCGGGGGTCAGCATGCCAGCTATCTTCGGACTTCTGTTGGCTTGCAAACTTGGCAAGTCAATTACAAACAGTTTTCCATTGGAACCGCACCCTAAACTTCCCCGCCCGAGAAAACCAGAATTTTCTACTTGCAAGCACTACGAAATTTCAGACGTGATGCCGTGCCTTCCGAGAAGCAGCGGATTTTTTTTGCATAACAGCTTTTTATGTAGTTTTAGATTTGATTTTTTTTAAAGAATAGTATTTTTTCGGCTCGTTTAATTTTTAGAAACTTATTTCATGTATATTTTTAAATTAAATTTGTTTCTTTTTTTCAATTAAATTTCTTTAATTTTTGGAAACCTTTGTTTTTTTTAATTAAATCTTCTTTTAAGTTTAAAATGTTATTGTATTAAAAAGAAAACAATTTTTTTTATTGCATTTAATTATTTTCTTTTTTTAATAAAATTTTTTCTTTTTAATTACTATTATTTTTTTCAATTTTTCAGAATGTTCCAAAGATATCATTTTACTCACGCTGTCCAACATTTTTTTTTTCTTTTTAATGTAATTTTAGGTAATATTTTATTAAAAAACTTTAATTTTTTTAATTTTTAGAAACTTTTTTCTTGTATTTTTTTAATTTAATTTTTAGAGACTTATTTCTTGTATTTTTTTAATTAAATTTTTTTCTATTTTGCAATAAAATTTGTTTCTTTTTTAATTAAGTTTCCCTCTAGATGTTACATTTTATTGTTTTAAAAAGGAAAATATTTTTATATTTATTTTTGTTAGAAAGTTTTTGGTTTTTTAAATTAAGTTTTCTTTTAGGTTTAATAATTTATTGTTTTAAAAAGAAAGCTATTTTTTAATTTAATTTAATTTTCAGAAACTTATTTATTTTATTTTTTTTCTTTATTTAATTAATTTTTTTGTTTTTTTCGATACAATTTTTAAATTTCTGAGCATGTTTCATATGTATCATTTTGCTTACGCTGCTCCAACAGTCGCAATGACCGAGTGAGAAAAGCATTGGCGCGCCATTCTTGAGATCCAAGGTTATTCATTATTTTTTTTTTTATTTTGTAATGTAATTTTAGATTTTATTGTTTTAAAAGGAAAAACGTATTTTAATTTAATTTAATTTTGGAAACTTGTTTTATGTATTTTTTTAATTAATACTTTTATATTTTTAATTTAATTTTTTTCTTTTTTTTGTATTTATTTTCCTTGTGATTGTTAGATTTTATTGTTTTAAATAATGTTTTAAGATTTTATTGTTTTGAAAAGAAACAAAATTATTCTTTGCTTAATTTCATTAAATTTTTAATTTCATTTAAGTTTTGTTCTTTTTATAAAATTTTTTTAATTGTTAGATTATACCTATTGTTTAAAAATATATTTTTTAATTAGATTCTAAAAATTAATTTCTAAAAATTTATTTTTTTTCTTTGTATTTAAATTTTTTGTTTTAAATGAAATATTTTAATCTTTCGTTTTTTGTTGTTTTAAAAAGAAAAACATATTTTTTTATTAAATTTAATTTAAAAAAAACTTATTGCTAAAAGACAAACAGAGTAACGTACTTTAGCAGATCTTTCAATTAGTCTTTCGAAAGACAGGGCAGAGCTTTAAGACAGTCGCAGTTGAAAGACAGTTGCAAAAAAATGGCGCAGTTAAGCTCAGTCCTTGAAGAAAAACTGTGGTTATTCAAGCGAGGCGGAATGTGAATTGTACATATATTTCTTTCAGTTGTTGAACTGAAATCAAACTGCAATTATACTAAGAACAAACATATTTTCCGTGAACTTCGATTCAACTTTGTCAACACTTTAGCAACTTTTTGCTGTTGCACTGTTCGCAATGCGTTTTCATAATTTCCTAAGAATGCCGATTTTGTCTCTTCCGTCCAGAAATTACATGCATAGGCAAATTTGCTCAGCAAGTTACATACTTTTACAGCACTTTTCGTAATTATGTACATATGTATGTAAGCATTTGTGATTTATGCTTTTCATTTAAGCAAGTCACGACAACTCTTTTATTGTTATTTCGCTAAGTTTGGTGAAAGAATGCCGTTAAATGCTGGCAAGCAAAAGTTTTTGCTAAACAGTCGCGACTTCTTACTCACATACATGAGCATAATACATGCAAACTTTTACATATGTTTTTTTCATTTCATAATTACTGTTTACTGCATTAAAATGCCGCTATTTGTTAATTGTTATGTTCCTCTACTCACCTATTTATTAATCGTTTTCTCTACACTTTTCTCTATTTCTTTGTAGCGTGTTCCACCGCTTCGTGTTGACGATTTAATCAACGATTTACGCGATGGTACCAAACTTATTGCACTCTTGGAAGTGCTATCCGGCGAACGTTTGCCCGTGGAGAAGGGTCGCGTTCTACGACGTCCGCATTTCCTCAGCAATGCCAATACAGCCTTACAATTTTTAGCCAGTAAACGTATCAAATTGGTGAATATTAATCCGGCAGATTTGGTGGATGGGAGACCACCAGTTGTGCTGGGTCTGATATGGACCATCATATTGTACTTCCAGGTAAGTTGAAGTCTTTTAAGCAAAATAAAAAAAAAGAAATGAGCACAACTACATTTAATCTAAATAACTAGGAAAAATATAAATTATTACTCTAACATGAAAAAAATGATTTAAGAATGAAAATATTTCTACGGCACCCTGTAAGTGCACCATAAACACACATATTTAAGTATGTACTTAAAAAAAAAATCCGTAACAAACTCTCCTCAAGTTTCTTAAGAAAATCCTAAAAATCCATTCTTAATCTAGTACCCACTCCCACCACTGTATCTTTTATCATTTTAATATCAGAAGCAAGTGAAGCCGCTTGTGGTATTAGAGATTTTATTTCGGAAAATCGATTGATTAAGATAGTTAATTAGTTAATTTTTGGATGTAACAGAACAAGAGACACCGCGACCTAAAATATCTTGTGTATTTCTTAAAGATAGAGTCCCTAACCCAGTGTGGCCAAGATACCTTCGGCTTCCCTAATGAATCCTAAAAGGGGCTTGGTAGGCGAATTCCTTATAGCAAAGGTTTCGACTATTGAAGATTTAAAATAAATCGGTCTTTGTCGGACTAAAGCCGGACAGTGACAGGGAATATGCTCCGAAGTTTCATCATAATCGGGGCAGAGCCGGCTTCCGACTCTGTGATCACACCTATTCGGTGTAGGTGGAATCACAATTGATTGTGACCGGTCAGGTACCCAGAAAGTAGCATGATGCCATTTCTATTTACTAAAACAATGCCGTTTCTGTTGAAGGGGTAGCCGAAGAGCCTGGCCTGTCTAAGACCCACCACCGCTTCCCAGCGCTTACTGCTTTCAGAGTGCACCCAATCAGTAATTATAGCTCTCGAAGAGGAACACCTGAGACAATAGAATGGTTCAGGTCCCGAAAAAGCAATTAACGATCCTAGCAGTCCTGTCTGCTCAATGAGAGCAAAAAACTAGGTAGACCTTTCGAAATTGAAGGCAACATGAGGTTTGCCCATCTCCAGCACCTCGATGTCTCCCAGTCATTGCTGAGCGAAGTATTCACCCAGTTTCTGATGGTGGTTTCGATAGCAGAAGATGCCAGTGCTATAACGGGTTGCGGACCGAGGAATGCTTGGTCTGAGCCAACGCTGATCAAGTGGTGACCTGGCACCCAGAGTGAAAAAAGCTTGTTATGTCTAGAAACATAATTTAGTTGAGACTTGCATTGCCGAACTAGTTTGGAAGTAGTTAGAGGGCTGGCCAATGCCTTAAGTGCAGGTAGCCCTTCACTGCAGACACGTAAACTCCTTTCCACCAAGTAGTCCATGGCCTTGATGATTGCAATTATCTCAGGCTGAAAGACCGAAACATACTGCCCAAGAAAAAGTGAAGCTTATCCCCATTAACTTCGATGAAGACCCGAGAGCCTGACCCAGAGTGGATTTGTGCTCAGCGCTGGAATTAAACCAGCATTCAGCCTCAGGGCACTCAACATTATAGAATCTCTTCTACAAAGGTAATGGTGACGTTCTATCCTGCAGCATTAAAAAGGCACAAGTGCTCAGATCTCTTCTACCAGTAACTTCAGCCTCGCCCCATTCAGTGTTATACCATTATCCGTTTCATTTTGGTGTGCAGGTAGCCTTTAAGGCTTTCCTACGTATGAAAACACAAAGTGACAGTAAGAGCAGCAGTGCATCAAGAGAAGCACCAGGTGTTATAGAGGAATCTCCCGTGCAGCACATGGCAATTATTCTTTGATGTTTAGCCCGCAGATTTCCCACGGTATTGATTGAGAGTCTGCTTCACCAGACCACTGACGCATAGCTGATGGGTCTGATCATAGAGGTATAAATCCAGAGTGCTCCCTATGGCGATAAACCCTACGTTTTGCCAAAGGCCTGTTTACATTGCCAAAATGCCGGCAATGCTTTGGACATCTTCACGTGAGATTTTCACGATAGTTTTGTATCCAGAATAACTCCTAGATACTTCACCTTGAGAGAAGTCTGAATTGCGACTCCTTGCAGTGCGAGGGGAATGAGACCATCCAACCTGCTCCTTCTAGTGAAGAGCACAACACTAGTTTTGGTTAGGTTAGCGGTGAACCCATTTCTATAACACCAAGTTCCAATCATATTCAGTATTGTCCGTGCTTTCCTGCAAACAGCCGGCCGTATAGCGTAGCTTGAGCGCAGATATCAGAGTGACAAGAAGAGAATCAATTACCAAGCGCCGGTGTAAAGGGGAAAGTACACCACCCTGAAGGTAGCGGCAGCATTGATAATTTACCAGTACAGAATCTACCCCATGCCGTAGAGCAAAATTGCACATGCTATAGAAGATGACATTGTCAAAACACCCTCTATGTCTACAAAAATGCCCAAGGCGGAACTCTTTCTTATTGATGGCATTATTAGATCTGGCAGTTCTGGGATTTCCCTGCCCGATAGGCATGTTGAGGTAAAGAGAGAGAATGTGATGAGAGCGCCTCCCTACGAATGCGCAACTCTACCAATCTTTCCAGACATTTTAGGAAGCATGAAGGATGTCATGCTAATAGGGCTGTAGCTTCTGACGCTTGTATAGTCATCCTTACCATGCTTCGGTATACAATCGATATCAACCAGCCTCCAAGGTTGTGGTATAGAACCCTGTACTCCAATGCGTTACAAAATGAAAAAGTTTATTCTGTGTTTTATTTTAAAGCTTAGGTCGGTTTAATACTTTTCAGTCGCTTTTTATGAAACCGTTTGAAAGCTAGTTCATGTTGCTTTAATGGAATCTTCGTGACGCTGTAAATATCCCCTTTACTTTCCCTATACCTATCCCTTTCTTAAATATTGCAAAATTACTGCACATTAAATGTACTTTCACAATTACATAAAAAAACACTTTAAGCTAAATAATAGTATACTTAAAAGTAATAACAGTGTAAAAAGTAAACATTTGTGTGTATTTCCTTTTTATCTCTTTGTCTCTCTTTTTGAAACGTTTTGATTTTTGAACTATTTAATTAATTTTTTTGCTAAAAACAAGCTTCATAAGAAGAGACGGAAAAAAGTAGTTGTAGTAATAAATTATGCGCCACAGGTAGGTTTGTAGTTGATGAGTGTTGTAAATAATTATGCATCTATTGGTAATAATACGCAAATTAATCGATTTTGGTGGTCTTAAATTTTGCCTTTATTCAAGTATAGATATACATACATACATATGTACCTACATTAGAGCGTACCACCTTACAGGAAAACAAAAGAAAGTTCACCGTAAATCACTGAGTCTTTGGCATTTTTGCAAGGAAATTTGGAACTTATATTTTTTTTGCCGAACCAAAAAATTTTGCAATGGCAACACATTTTTGGTTTTAAATAGTTCCTTATCAAAAGTTTAATGATTTTTGGAGAGCTTTAATTTAGTGGCTGGGTGGTACGTTAGGGTAACATGAACTGTGATCTGAGATCAAAGAACTTTGGAACAAACAGTTTGTATTCTCGAGACAAAAACATCCATATAAAATACTTTAAGATCCAATTGTAAATGTCGAAGATATGACGAAAAATATATGTAGAAAGGTGACCCCTATGATCGGCAAAAAAATTGTTTTACTTTTTTCCAAATTTCCTTGCAATTCTTCATTAGACTCAGGTACGGTCTAATGTACATACATACATATATAATACATATATTTATAATAGTACCAAGTCAGATATACCGCACATTTCACACAGTTATACGTAAGGTTCAGTGCATTATTTCTACGCAATTTATTTTTTCAAAAATAATATTTAAGTTCTTACATGTTCGAGCATATTTAAGCATATTTTTTTTAAGATTTTCGCAGAATATTTTACCCCTCTAACTGCCGTTTTCAGTGATTTTACATTGAACTTTTTTAAGATACTTATTTATGTATCAAAAAGACCCATTATGCTAGGAATTATGGGGTTAAAATGCTTTACGAAAAAATAGCCCGATAAATTTTACTAATGTCTCTTAAGCCATAACTAAATTTGAGGTTGAGGTCCCTTTTATGATGTTTTTTCTAATGAAAAAAAACCACAATAGGCTGCGAATTTGGAGATCGCCACATCTCTTTATCAGACTTACACCCAAGCGTACAAATCAGGTCTTCCACTTACTGAGCTAATTTCTTCGTACCATGTAAATTGTTCCTCTTTGCTTTCAAGCTGTGGTTCGTGCAATGGTACCATGCCTTAGACAGCATGAAGAAAGCTGTGCGACCGACCAGCAAATCTACATAAATACTACACTCTGACAGCAGGGCGGCGTTCCTTGTCTAGAAAGCATTCGCGGTCACAATGCATGGCATTCCGAGTTTAACAGAATCTTGCATACTGCGAGGGCTGCTGGATATTTTTGTTGTTCTAATGGCTACTTAACCCTGCCTAGATCCACTAATGGTTTTCAAATCAAGTTCAACTAACGGCAGGCCCAAGAAACCTGTTGTTTCGATTGTTGTTTGGATGTGGTCGTATCAAAGAGAGAAAGGTTTGAACTGAGTGGGTTTATGGGGGCAAGTGAAGATGTGATTAGTATTATGTAAACCTTCACATGTAGGATATTCGATTTGAATACTGGGACCTACATAGTGTGAGTAAGTTGAAGTTTAACCTACTATAATGCCCCAGGAAAACGGTGGTCTCGCGCGGCAGCTGAAGATCTTCCTCTGTAATAGGCAATGGTTAAATTCCTATAATGTGAATAGGATGTTGTCATTGTCAAAGCATATGAACCATTTACCAGGACGAGTATCATGTGTGACTTATAGTATATAGTTTCTGTACGACGAGAGCGAACTTTACTTCCAAATTGTCTACTTAGTTTAGAGGGCAAGAGTGATTCTCCGGTAGATTTTATGACTGATATTATTATCGTTGTTAATGGTTGTTCTAAGATAGGTGAGTTCGTTTATTTCGAAATTATAGACGTTAACAGTGCAGTGAGTGTTTGTTTGAAGTCAGGAGTCTTGACGCAGGAGGTGATTTGTCTTGTCCCCATTTTCCTCCCGATCCTTTCGATTTGCTTGCACATACAACTTGGAAAAGGCTGAACAAAACGGGGAAGTTGTAGGTACGTAAAAAATGCCCTCGAGCGATTTAGTTCTGCAGTCCTTATCTTCTGCAAGCTGCCCTGTCTGAACTTCGTTTGGCATCGAAAGGGTTGGAGATGCCCATCTTAAATTTGTCATTTGTTCAATGCCATTTTACTTCGTGGGATACTAAATTCAATTTTTCAGCCGCGAAAAAGCTATTTGAACCTCGTCAGAGTCGGGCGGTGGACATCGTTCACGTCGTCCTCGACTGTAGGCTTGGGCTCACCTACTTCACTGGTTTCAGGCTGTAAACATTCAATAAGGTCGAAAAGTGTTCTGCTCGTAATTGAAAGTAGGTTTAGGACTTTGGTGTTCGCTAGATCGTGATGGTAGTTCTTACAAGAAATAAAAATTTCGGGTGTTTCTTTGACCAGGCTTTTTATTTTTTTGTACGCAAAATAATCTTCACCACTTCAGCGTACAGTATCGCACTGTAAGCAACATATTTTTTCTCTGCAGCGGCGCATGATTCCTCGTCGTACCAATTGCTCTTTCCGGCTTGCTGAAATCGTACTATTTCCTGTCCTCTCAGAGAGCAGGTAGGATATTCGAGTGGATAAGAACCAGCATCTTTTCTTCAGTTGCAGGGCGCATAATTTTTGAAGCACAAAGACGAGTGCGTATCTTGGCTGCAACAAGAGTCAATGTTTAGTCCTCAAAAGGTTCGTATGTACATCTAAAACAACGAAGAGTGCCTTCTGCGTATCATAATATCTTGGACTTGGTTTCTCGTTTTTCAACCTGGCTAAAGTATTGAAGTCTGATCTATCCTTTTATGCTGGAGCCTAGTAATGTATAATACAATGTTTCGGGCCACGGCCTAAGTCCGATATCAGACAGCTCATGGTTGTATCTATATTTTTAGACGATTGCATCAGTGATATCTACTTTTTCTACCCAGACTTTGAAATCGCCAATCATGATTGATGCTCTCGTAAAAGTGATCTGCGTTTTCATACTCTTTTCCTCCTTTGTGGTTTGGGCGTAAATGAGCGATATCCGGATTGTGGCGAGAAACTCGTTTGCCTGCTTTATCGACAGTACTAAGTGACGCAGTCTCTCTACATCCTTAAATCCAATACCGAATTAGGCATGCCTTCCGTGCCAGTATACGTCTCTCTGAGAACTTATGAGTACTAAGTGCAATCGGGTACTTTTCGACGATACCTTGGGGAGTGTCGAGCATATTCGCGAGACTGCATGAGTAGAGATATCGATAATATGGTGGTATAAGATGAATATTACCCACAGATAGCGCCCCATTTTTAAATGACATAAACTTTTGAAGTGAAATTTCTTTAGCGGCGGTAGTGAATTAAAAAATCTTCACGGAAATGTGTGAATTTGCGATGCAACAGAAGTGCATCCATTTTCCCACTAAGCCGTTGACGAATTCAAAGACCATTACCGAGCCAAAGACAAATATTGCGACGAATACGAAGACGTGGGCGAAGGTGAATACGAAGACGAATACAAAAACGAAGTCAAATACGAATATACAAAGGGGACTATGTACTAAGACGAGTTAGAAAACAAGTAGAAAGACCAAGGCGAAAAGTGAAGAGTAGTATAAATGTTAAATGAACTAGAAATCATTCGAAGGAAGTTTCACTTAAGTTTTTTCTTTATTTGATTACAACCCTGATCGGGTACTGGTCGCAACAAAGTTTTCGTTTCACTTCATTCTGCCCTAATTTCCTTTACTCGAACCGATAGTAGCGAACTCTACCGAAAACTAGTTATATTAAGTAAAGCGCAGCTTGAGTAGCAAAGCAGCTGATTGTTGGTGGTTTTCTAGTACTTTGGGGAAAAGTCTCCACTAGGGGTGTTTGTGCCAAAACGATAACGACCCATCGTAAAGAAAATAGGCACTTTTGTGGGTTCGTTAACTTTTGGTTGGTCCTCAACTCGGGTGCACCTCAAAACAAGGTTTTGTTTTTGGAATTAGTATTGGATAGCATAAAAAAGTGGTTGCATATTTCAAGAGGACCTATTTGTTTTTTTTTTTCTGTGCACTTTCATGTTCTTTGTATAAAGATTTCGTCTAAGAATACCCCTAGTGAAATTTTGCGGGTAATAATTTTCTAGAACATTTTAAAACTCTAGCGACCTCATAAATGCCATTTTATTGAGACTTTCCAAAAAACAGGTCAAAATGAGCCTTTCGTGAGAGAGCTGATGGGCTAAAGTGTTCTAGAAAATTATTCCTCGTGAAATTTTAGTATACGTGCCCCAACTATATATTTCGCACCAATATAAGTTTTAACCCTTTTTTCTCCTACCTATTCTAAAAATACTTAGGCAAAAAACTGCAAATTTAATATTACCATAAAGAGAAAATTTTATCTGAGAATTCAAAAAGACTTGGAGGTTTTGCTATACGAGTCTAGGTCTTACATCTTGAGCTGTAATCAATCCGCCCCAAAAATGCAGTTGCACTGTGTTATAAATAAATATGTATTCCATCCATCACTTTTAAATACGTACACATTTTTACATGCATAGGATGGATTTCGAACCTAAATTTTAGTATTTTCTTTAGATTATATCTAATCTCTGTGTTAAACTAAGTTGATTAATTAATTTCAAATATTTTGTTATTTTATTTAATTTTTTCTCAAATCTTTATGCAAGTTCTTCTACTTAATATATTATTTTATTTTTTTTCGCCCCTAACCAGATTGAGGAGAATAGCCGCAACCTTGAATATTTGGGTCATGGTATTAGCGGTTCGGTTAGTTCTCTCGACAGCGTTGGCAAAACTGTCAGCGATCAAAAGGCTGAGAAATGGAAGCAAGGTGCTAGGAAGACACTGCTGAATTGGGTTACCAATGCCTTGCCAAAGTAAGTTTTACATACAAACACTTTCGCAAATTATCCCATTTACATTTACCATCTTTTTGTACCCTCCACAGAGACATCGGCATTGAAGTAAAGGATTTCGGCGCCAGTTGGAGAGATGGTGTCGCCTTCCTAGCCCTTATCGATGCAATCAAAGCGAATTTGGTTAATTTGGCTGACTTGAAAAAGGCCAACAATCGTCAACGTCTAGAAACTGCTTTCGATGTGGCTGAAAGTAAGCTGGGCATTGCCAAATTGTTGGATGCTGAGGATGTGGATGTACCAAAACCGGATGAAAAGAGTATAATGACATATGTGGCGCAATTTTTGCACAAGTACCCTGAACCAAAAGTGAGTAGTAGAGTAGTAATTTGCATACAAACACTCTGAGTCTCTCTACTTGTAATTACTCTAACACACACTCTCTCTTTCTCTCTCTCTCGATTTCAATTATTGTAGGGTGGCTCACGTGATACATCACACATACAACAGGAATTGGATGAACTACGCCGTTTCCTGATAGAAAAGACCACAGAATATGAGCCCATGGTCATGTCGAATTCATTCCCGCGTGATTTCGCTGAATATCTGATCGCACGTTCGGAGATTGACGCCCACTTGCCGGTCTACAATCGCCTCAAGCAACTGATGGATAGTCAGAGCGGCTTCCTACAAGTGCCACGCCCGGTGTGGGAGGACATAAATGCATTGTGGCAACGTTTGCAATATCAAATGAACTATTGGCTGTGGTTGTTGGATTCAGAGTTGCCCGGCGAATTCGGTGTGGTCGGCAAGTGGCTAGCGGACGCTGAAAAATTACTAACGGACAATGAGATACCAAGTGCCATGAATGAGGAGACAGCATCGGTGATAAGTAGAAAGCTGGAGGAGCATAAATTATTCTTTGCCGATTTGCCACGTATAATGGCAATGTTTGAGAATGCCAAGCGTTCGCCACTGGTGCAACAAGTGCCGCTTGAGCAGTTGCGCAACATGAAACGCCGGCTGCAAGAGGTGGCACCCAAGGCGGCCGAACGTAGAATACGTTTAAAGTTCCTGGAACATAAGTGCTGTCTCATTGCTTTCCTCAATTTGGTTGAGGACAAAATGAAGGGTTGGACTGGCAAGTATGGCTATGAGGAGAAGGCCAGCCAGCAATTGGAGCAATACAAGAATTTCGTATCGCGCAACAAAATTTTCCAAGAGTTCCAGAAGGCATTCGTCGACATGCAACAAGTGGTGGACGAATACAAGCGTGAGGGCAATGTACTGCGCAAAGACATAACGGAAATCGATCGCTTCATGTACGAGACCGAGGAGCGTTGGAAGCGTGTCTCTATGGAGCTTAAGTGCTGCCAGAACTCGCTGGAAGAGGTTGTGAGCTGTTGGAAGACCTGGAACCAGTTGGCGCCCACTTGTGAGGAGTGGCTCAATTTCGCCGAAACTAAACTATCGCGTACCGAAGATGAACGCTTGGAGTTCTTCCAAGACATAACCACATGGAAGGATAAATTCGATGCAGTCGCCAATGCAGCCAATTATTTGATCGCTTCATGCGAGGATGGCATCGCACACAACCTGCGCCAGAAGCATGGCAATTTATCGGAGCGCTTCGAGCGCCTCTTTGCCAATACCAAGCAATACATGCATGCGGGTGACATCATACGCGCACGCAATGAATACAAATCCGGCATTGAGAAGCTCTCACAATGGCTGCGTCATGCGGAGCAGGTGCTCGAACAGCGCCAAATGCTCGGCAACACGCAACAGATTACCAAATATGGCGAGGAGTTGCAAAAGCTGGCTAGCGAAATTGATGACAACGAGGAGCTCTTCAAGACGGTCAGCCGCAGTTTCCAGGGCCTCATTCAGGACTTGCCACGCGATGAGGTCGACAAAATGATGAAATTACTCAAGCAGGAGAAGGAGTCTTTGGTGTGCATACGCGCGCAAATACCAGCCAAATTGCATCTCTTTCACCAGCTGCTCATACAGCAGGAGTCGCTCGAGGCGGGCCAAAAGGAGATACATCAATGGCTGAACGATGCAGAGGCGCTGCTGAGCACGCATGCACTCTCGGGTGGACGCGATGCCATAAGTGAGGAGTTGAACAAACACAAGACCTTCTTTTCGCGCACCGTCTACTATCGTTCGATGTTGGAGAGCAAGAATAAGGTTTTCCAGAATCTGCTGAAGTCGGTCGCCGCCGATGACAATATCGACACCTCGCAAACGGCGCACAACATGCAGCAGCTGAACGAACGCTTTAACTATGTAATACAGAATGCTGAGCAGTGGGAGCAGCGATTGAATAATGCCTCACGCGGTTGGAACGCCTTCAAAGAGAATGAGCACGTTGTCAGCGAATGGCTAACGCAGGCCGAATCTATGCTTATCGAAAAACACATCGAATCGAAGACCGTAATCGAGACACAAAAGTACTTCTTCGAAAACGTCAACGAGCGCTGGATGCACAATCTGGTGGAGTCGGCGCAGGACTTGTTGAAAACACTGCCGGCGCAAGAGCAAAAGCCTGTAGTGGATACGGTCGAACAGCTGCAAGCCAAGTGGCAGCACGTCTTATCGCAAGCGCCACTGCATTTGTTGAAGCTCGAATTCCGTCTTGACGAATCGACCTTCTATCAGACGCTGCAAGAAGTCGAACAGGAATTGCATTTGGAGCAACAAGCTTTGAATCGTAATGAAGATATCAACTCCATACTCAATCGCAATGAGCAATTCTTCCGACAGCAGGGACCAATACCGCAAATTGAGAAGAGCTTGCAGAATATGCATCGCATTAGTCAAGCTTATGGTTATCAAAAGCCGACTGACATCAGCCTCGGTCAGGCCTATGACAGCGCTAAGCTGCAGTGGCAGCAATTGTCGGGCAGAATTGATGATATGCGCGAGACTCTGCAGCAAATACCGGCACAGTGGGACAGCTATCATGAGAAGTTCAAGGAGATGGTCGAGTGGATGAATATTGTCGATAAGAGTTTGAAGAATATTGTGAACGAAGTGAACAGCATGGAGGAGTTCGAGAAGGAAAAGGTGGTATTCCAGGTGAGAACAATTCTAAGACTTAATTACAAAATCTGTGTGGATATTGAAGCAAGGGAGTGGTCAAAGATCTTATGAGTATTTTTTCCGCGGGTTATCGTCAAAGTTTACTAAAGGCGGGGAAATGGGAGTTACTAGGAGTGACAAACCCACGAAGACTTTTAGCCATAGCCGTTCTAAAGACAGTTGAAAAGTATATACATACGAGTACCAGCATGGTCCTTGGTGGCGTTATTAATATTTCGGATATGAGGCATTCCAAGCTATTTCAACGAAAATTAAGTACTATTTTATTTTTCCATTTTGATATAAACTGACTACAATGTAGAAATACCTTTAAGGTATGGCAAAATGCGAGGAATGTAAAACAAATTTGCAAAAATTATACAACATCCAAAATATAAGGTCTCTCGGCGAGGGCCGTTGTTTATCACATCATAGCTCGATAAATATTGGTTGTATCAAAAAAAAAAAAAATCAGTTCATACTTTTTTATTGACAAAGAGTGCGAGATTTATAAAAAATTATTCATGCAAATTGCTAAAAATCCTAAAATATACATGTCACCAATAATAAAATCTCGACGTGCTAGAAAAAAGCCAAAGATGTATTTTAATTTAACATGACATTAAAAATTATAAATTTAATAATTTTTGCTAAAAAGATGGAGTTTTCCGCTTTATTCAAGTTATGATGTCATAAACAATGGCTTACGGCGATAAGGATAAGGATAAGGATAAGGATAAGGATAAGGATAAGGATAA